AGTAAGTAAACCCCCAACCCCCACCGCCTTCGTCCCCAATCCAAAATGTTGATTTTTTTCCATTGTATTCTTAAAACATTTTTTCACGAACGAATGAAAATAAAAGAAAGGGAAAAAAGAGGGAAGTTAAATAAACTAATGTTTTAGAAATTTTGGAGAGAAAAGAAATGGAATAAAAGGACAGTAATTGATAACTTTACTGATAAATGCAGGAATAAAAGGAAAGAAAGAAGCAAAAAACTTGAAAATGGTATTGAAATTACTAAATTACGTGTCTACTACAAAATCCTTTTCCCCTTTGTTTAGTCGTACATGCAATACAAGGCTACATAGTTCACGATTGCTTTGCTTCTTTCCTTTACTTTTCTTCCCTTTTTCTTCTTCTCAAATTCAATACACACAACCTTTGTCTTTGAGATTTGATTTAAAAAAATGGTGCTTTGACGTGGATTAGGGTTAGGTTTCAACCATTTAAAGTGGGATCGAAATAGTAACCCTCTGAGATCTGATTTAAGGATTTTTCTAATTTAAATTGGAACATAAATCCAAGATTGAAGATGATATGGATGCTATGGTACTTTTTTGAGTGTTTGACCAAAGTTTTCATAGTAATTATTCTTCTTTTGACTCAAATTCTTCTTCTTTTTCAACTTCAATTATTTTTGAATTAGGGTTGTAGATTTGCAGTTATTTGGGAATTACATTCATTTAGTGGATCTTCTGGTTTTTCTAAGTTTGTCGTTTCTTAATAAGCAAAGGCTCTTTTATCTTCTTTAAGTTGCGAAGCAAGTCTTTGTGAGAGTGACCGTGAAATACGAACTATGTCGTGGGAGTCCGTTCTTGAGAAGGTTATTAGAATTCAAGCGGACCATACCCTCGAACGAAGAATCCTCCGTATCATCCATGACTATGGCAGTGACATTATGATTTTGATTTTAGCTAGGGTTTTGATTTATGTTTTTGTATTTAAATTATTGTAATAAATTTTTTATGGTATATGTATTGGAATAAAGGAGTCATATACTTAAAAGAAGAAAATAATCGTATTCCTGTTAGAATCTATATGAAATGGCATAGAATAAATGTTTCAAAATTTTACCAAAACGAGCAGCAATCTTTTGATGTCGTTTTTGAATCTAAGGCAATAAACATAACTCGTTACCTTTGCATTATCGACACAAATGATCTGAATTCAGTTGACTTCCCAAGCCAAGAGATGAGGTATTCTTTCTTCCCAAACGTGCTAGATACAATTTCCCACTCTTTGAAGAGAGAAATAAAAACTTGTGGAATATAAAGAGTAAATTGAATCACCAGATTAATTGATCAAGCAACCAACAACAATGTCTCACGATGTCTGTTAATTTATATAAGTATAATGATCGTCATATAATAAACAGATATTATATGACCATGCCGAGAAGAACAGTCCATATTTTTCAGAAGATACAGTATCTTATAAAGGCATGATTCGTTATTTTTTTACTTATTTAAATGACAAGAGTTTCTTATCCTTTTATTCCACACTTGTCATACAAGTTATCTGATATTTGATTTGATTTGATTTAATTATATTAAATAATAAGGAATCTGATATAATAATTAAATATTTTAATTATTTGATCTTCATATATATATATATATATACATGTATATCTATATAGGGGAGCGTTCAAATAAAAACCACTCAATTTGTAAAAACTGTGAAAACCTCATTCAACCAATCATAA